ACAGCGGAAGGTTGAGGTGGTTCTTAGGGCTTCCTGTGTTAGGACATCCAACCAATTCCAAATGGAAAGCCCAAGATTAAGTTCAAGCCAGAAATGGCAAGGTCCTTCATTCACGTGTCCCATCCTTTCCAGTTATACATTTAACCCAAGGTGATAGCACCCACTGGAGAGCCCACACAGCACTGGGCAAGGAGAGCCTGGCCTTCAAAGCCGGTCTTTATTTCAACAGCCTTAATGGATGGAGTAACCTCAGCAACTTCTATCAGTGCTTTTTGTTTCCACCCCCCATCGGCATCATTGATTTAACTTCTGAGACGAAAGCAGCAGATTTAACAGGGCTCCTTCAGGGAAGCAGCTGCCGGAACTGCAACGGATTTCCTTCCTCCCAGCTGGCAAGAATGTGCCAGGAAATCTGTCATAGGACTCCTCTCAATTTTCATTCCATGTCTTAGAGGTCACCTAATGGATTTACCTCTGGCCATGCTCTTTCTTCTGAATAGCCCAGATAGTTTGTCCCATCAGTGAAACCCAGCATGGCAGCTATAAAAGCAAGCATCCCCATGACTCATACATACCCTCCTGCCTTTCCAAAAGGAGAGCCACATGGGAAACCCATGCCTGGGGGACTCCCCTAATCAGTGTCTACCAGAGTTGAGATCAGAGAACGTGGTTTGGCTAGGCTTATTTTTATTCATTGTATGGCCAGCACAGGTTGGCTACTTCTTTCAAAGCACTGTCCAATTTCACAGCAGTGAGAGAACTAGGGAGCTGGTTCTCAGCACAGCCTCATACCACCCCAGGCTTTCCCCGAAAGGGTCACTGATTCCATGCCTGCCAGTAAGTGCAACAAGCTAGAAGTTAGCATTCACAGTCAACATTGCTTTTCATGTTTTTTTTTCATTCCTGTGGCAATTAACCTAAAGATCCTAGAAACACTGATTCCCCAGATAGTGGCTGGTACTTCACAGTGAAGAGGATGTTATGTTAGAATTGCTTTTTCCAAAACGGTAGCTATAAGCCACAAATGGCTATGGAGCACTGGACATGTAGAGTCTGATCTGAGGTACATTACAAATATACTCTGATTTCAAGGGCTTAGTAGGAAACAAAGAATGTAAGCTATCTCCTCAATTTTTACTTGAGGAAATGTTTAAATCACATTTAGGACATACTAAGTTAAGGAAAATATAATACTAAAATTAATTTCACCTCTTTCTTTTAACTTGTTAAAATGTAGCTAATGTAAAATTTAAATTGAAAATTATACACATGGTTTTCATCTGTGGCTTGCATTAGATTTCTATTGGACAGGCCTACAGGATACTCATGAGTTTCCTGTGTTGCTTGCCTGGGGTTGCCAAGAAGTACCATCAGGATTAAATGCAGAGTCCTTCCAAGTCCCAAGTGGACTTTCATGTTCATCTTGAGCCAAGGCCATGAAGCTGCTTGCTCTACTTACTCTAATTTCTCTCTCTGCCAAGTGGTTTCAGTTTCATAGATAATCAGTGAAATAGGAGAGAAAAAATTCCTTGTATTTTGAGCCACTTTCCCCTCAGTTCCTTCACCCTGGTCTCCTTCAGTTTTATTTCATTAATCACCCATCTGCCAATTCAACAAGGGAGAATTCTTTGTCAGTCACATCCTGATAGCAAGAGTTACCCCGGTTATTTTCTGCAGAGCTTGGGCAACCTCAACCCCAGGGTGGATCAGGATCACATTCTCACCAAACTCCCTCCTAGAACTCTGGGCCATACTGAGCCTGAAACGATCTGAAAGCCCGGTCAACTTCCGTCACCACCCCTGAAATTTGAGGCGAAGATTGCCAATGAAACCCTCCGGACACAACAGGCTTTATAACCTATTATAAAGTTTACTCAGTCCTACGGGAGCATGCGAGGCAGCCAACCCATCAGACGCAGCATCTTCATCTTATCGGGAGGCAGGGAGTTGCTTGAGAGAACAGCTGTTTTTGTTCTCATCAAGAGGCCATGGAGAGGCACTGCCTCGGACAAACGTCAAGGCCTATATTATAGTTCATCGACACAGAGAAGCCACAGCCTTGATTTCTTACCAAGCCTGTATACATTCTGGTCACGTAGGCCCCACACAGCAACCCCTGTGCAGTAAATGTAGCCAACTCCACATTCCCCACTTAGTTTAACTCTATTGTTTTCAAGGAAATGCTGTGGAAAGAATCAGCAGTCATTCCTCAGCCCAGGCCTGATGTTAACCCTCTACTTGCACTTATGTGGAAAGATACAGTTGAAAATAATGTCGCTGATCACTGAATATCTTAAATCTTAAAGAGATTTTTTGAGATGAGCAACTGGGCATCTTTAAGGTTTCAAAATAATAAGTTCTTCAGAATAGATGGTTAGAAAGGTAGTCAGTGGGGGTAGAAGGTTAGAGATACAAACTTCCAGTTAAAAGATAAATTAAGGGGCGCCTGGGTGGCTCAGTCAGTTAAGCGTCTGCCTTCGGCTCAGGTCATGATCCTGGGGTCCTGGGATCGAGTCCCACATCGGGCTCTAAGCAAGGAGCCTGCTTCTCCCTCTGCCTGCCATTCCCCCTGCTTGTACTCTCCTTCACTCTCTCTCTGGCAAATAAATAAAATCTTTAAAAAAAATAGATAAATTAAGTACTAGGACCGTAACATACATACAATGTGACCACCAGAACTAATGCTGCTACATGATCTACAGAAAAGTTGTTAAGGGAGTAGGTCCTAAGAGTTCTCATCACAAGAAGAGATTTTTTCCTTTTCCTTTTATTGTTATCTATAGGAGATGATGGGTATTAACTAAACCTGTTGGGATAATCATTTCACCATATATGTAAATCAAACTATCATCTGTACACCTTATACAGTGTACATAGGTCAGTTGCTTTAGTAAAACCGGTGTGGGGGCGGGGGGGACAAAAGTAAGTGAATCCTACTTTACAAAACACAGTAGCTAAATCCTAAAATTCTAGTATTTTTGTAATTTATCTCTTTTTTTTTAAGATTTTATTTATTTATTTGAGACAGAGAGAATGAGAGACAGAGAGCATGAGAGGGAGGAGGGTCAGAGGGAGGAGGGCCAGAGGGAGAAGCAGACCCCCCGCTGAGCAGGGAGCCGGATGTGGGACTCGATCCAGGGACTCCAGGATCATGACCTGAGCCGAAGGCAGTCGCTTAACCAACTGAGCCACCCAGGCGCCCTGTAATTTATCTCTTAATGGTTCAACTAATATGTCAACCCCTCATCATAAATGTTCATTGAGAAATTACTTTTTGTCCTATTTTGAGATGGATTTTTTTTTCGACACATGGGTCAATATAGGTTAAAAGGCTGTTTTATACTTCAGCACTCAGCTGACTTGCACTCAAAATTAGACAAATTATCCAAACAAACTATATCTTTTTTCTGGAATGCGAACACCAGCATGATTTCCTAAACTATAAGGGTGTTACTTTAGCACTTACATACAAACGGTTTAATTTCTTGTATATCCACTTTTTTCCAAGACATAGAAAATTCAAGGCAAACAATAATTTAGCTTTAAAATTTCCATGGAAGTTAAAAAAATTGCCAGTATAAATGAATATCCTTATTAAAGAGTAGTGAAAAATCAATTTCCAATTTTTATAAGATTACAACAGTAGTTATGTGTAATTAGGATCATTAGCTTTTATTTCAGACTGGTTTCCTCAAAATTGAATTGCTCATACATCCTAAGGTTAAGTATTTTCCAATAATTATTTGTTTTTGTCATGTGAAATTGCCTTACTCCATAATTCCCAAAAAACTATTTTATACATTATTACATAAACTATGGTCATCTTCTCATGTTTAGAATCCATTTTAACTTCAATTTTTCACTTTCATATTTTGTAATATACTGTTCATTGAGCCTCTACTTTCACAGACTCAAAATAATTTTTTAAGAGTTTGAGCCAATTACTTTTTGTCTCCTATATTACTATTAAAAATTACTTTCATAAAGGGAGAGCTGTAGCAACTTTATAAAATGTCATCTTTTAAACTTTCAGTTTTAGTAGCAAAAAAACTAATTAATTGGCAATCATCTGTTGTTACATTCTAAATAAGTGCATTTAATTAAATTACTCATTAATGAATTTCATTATAAACTCCTAAATACCATATTTTCCTATCACAAGCACATTTCATTTATCATATTTCATTTTTCTTTTAAATTTTGGTTTTCTTTTCATGTATGTATATATGTGTATGGAGAATTCTTTAATTCTTTAATTGCAACATTCAAGAGAAAAGTAACATAAGTTAAATAATAGGTTTCGGAACATAGTGAGTTAAACAATTTTCCTTAACATGAAATAAACTTCTGCCAAATTTCATTCATAATTTCAACTCAGTCAATGTACCTGAAAAGTAATTGCATATAAATTAGAACATGTGACTATCTTATAGTCTTCCAAATGGGTTAGCATAAAGCGGAGAAGTGACATTAAGGGAGGATAACAAAAACCAAGCAGTGTTCTTGAGCTGTACTGTATTTTCCAGTGAAGTAATGTAAAAAATCATAGGAAATAAACATTAAAGTTTGCCTCTATGAAAAAGAAAAAATCCAGTCAATGATCTTGATATATCCCCCTTTGACATCGTATATTTATCCATTTAAACACATAATGTAAAACCTAGTATATGAATATATAACACATAATATCCCAATAGGTTCTTTTTCTTGCTCAATTTATTTAGATATTCTAACAATACGTAGACAATATCAGAATGTGTAGTTGTCCCAATAAAACACATTGAGAGTTTCATATTTCTTAATGGACACATTTATATGATGCAGCAGGATAAATCAATAAAACTTGAATGGGAAAAAAAGCAACTCAATCTTTATATACTTCAGTTATCTTTCCATTACAATAATGGTAACATTTATTCATGATAAAGTTTTAGTTATGATTCTGAAATACATGCTCTATTCCATGACTAAAGTGTTTTCTCATGTTTTTCTTATGACAGGATGATGAGGTAAGGGAAAGTCGATTCAGCTTCACAGCCTATGGAATGGGACCATGTCTGCAAGCAAAAGATGGTGTGACCCCAAAGGGCCCAAACCATCCTGCCCAGGTAATGCTGAAAAGTCCTGATGAAATGAGGAAGGTTTTTATCGACAGAGCCAAGAAGATTGACACCATCTCTCGAGCCTGTTTCCCATTAGCCTTTTTGATTTTTAATATTTTCTACTGGGTTATCTATAAAATTCTTAGGCATGAGGATATTCATCAGCAACAAGATTAAGCCTCTGGGGGCATGCAAGTGCAAATGATCAATTCAAAAGAAAGTTTCTTTGCCATAGGTGTGTGTATATATGTGGGTGTGATGTACAAATGATGACCATCATATTAAAATGACATATGGGAAGGTATTGTTATGATATGCTATGCAAAGTCACAAGGCAGATTAAGGGTCTTTTAATGGATACAAAAATATATATTGTAAGGATTCTATTTCATATTAATTTAAGATTTTCTGTCCTTTCACAGTATATCATGTAAGTGGAACTATTATTGCCAATGTGTTTGTATTGTTATATGAAATCACATAATAGTACATGTGAAAACTACTTTGGAAATTCTTGGTTTTCAGTTCAATGACGTTAAATCTTACAAAAGTAAAATTTGCACAATTAACTTTATAAATGGAAAAGGTGGAAATGTTGAAGATTTTAAATATCAGTAGCTTGAGGTTTTAAAATATTTTCTTGTACTGTAGCTACAAAACAGAAAAGTAATCAATTAATTCAGTAGATAACTCAGTAATTGAGGATTGTACATACAAATACCATGGGGTCAAGTTATGTAATACCAAGAAACATTCAAATTATAAAATTAAAACTTACGTACTACCAAAAAATTCAAATTATAAAATTAGAATAAAAAAATTTAGTATTTACATACTAAATTTAATTGTTTAGAACACAAAATTTCCCTCTTTGGAAATTTAAAACAAATAGCTTAAGAGATCATATTATATACAAAATCTACTTTTCTTAACTTTATAGCTCTATAAATGAAGATGGAAATACTGAAAACAACAGCATTGTTTTTAAATAAGTGCTAGAGCTGTGTATTTTGAATTATTGCCAAATACCACAGAATGCAAGCCAGCACCCTTGTTTTGTTAGATTTTTAATAGCTGCTTAATTGTCTATACGTAATTATGTTTAATGTTTTGATATAATTGAACAAAGTTCAGTAAGATTTTTATATTTTAGCTTAGAATGAGACTTTAAAATTCAATGGGATTATAGTATTTACATTTTGATAAAAATGAATTTAATTAAAACAAAAATGGATTTATGAAAGATTTTTTTAAAAAGAACAGTTTCCCATCAAAGTTATATGGGTTCAAACTCTTAGCTCCCAATGTAAGGAGGGAAGATTTTAATTCTAAATTATATAAATAAGTCATTTCTATAAAATGAGGATTGGTTGTTTTTATATTTCTGAATTAATTATTTCAATATATATGCCATGCAGTAGATGTGAATAATTTTAAATAAAATTTTTACTTAAAATTTATCAACAACCCCATGGAATTATTTTAACTGCAATGGGGCATTAACTCATTTCATGCAGCGTAATTAAGTACAAATATATGATCGAGTTCTCGGTGAAATTGCACCAGACTCTAATTCTTTTTCAGTTTGGCAATTTTTTGCATTATTTCTTACCAGTATTGTTTTATTTTTAAAAAGTTCTAGAATGCTTTTTAGATACGTTTAATGATTGGTCAGATTTGCTAAATGGAAACTCAATGTGCCAAATGATAGACAGAGAAAGGTTTAAACATTAAGAAAACAATTTACTCAAATTTAAGAGGAAAAAATAAGCCAGTCTTTTAATCAAATGGTATTATTTTCTGAACTTTAACCACTCTCAAACTAAAAGCAAGAACTGCCATTTAATGTTAAAAGTTTCTCAATGCTATTGAACTTTGGTCTACCCAATAGTAGTTTGTAAAAACAACTTTTGAAAAAATAATGTTTATTCAGCAATTTTTGCTAGTGGAGGACCAAACTGCCCTCCTTTATAAATAAGTTAAAACACTATGCAGGGGAAAAAAAAAAAATCATGTTTGTCATTAAATGCAAATGCCACAACTGGAAGAAAGTGTTACTCTTTATTTACAGAGTAAGTGGGCCGGGACGTTGAACACAGTCTTTTTCATGTGGTGTGTATGAATCAAAACCATGGGAGTATATTCTTGTACTAAAGATAGATTAGAGCCAGATATGCTGCTTGTGTTCCCTGGGGATAAGCTGGGTGGTTTGAAGTTATGATAAACTACATTGTCTCAATATGTCTCTGAAATACTTGAATATATTTTTCTGTACTTTACACATCTTATTTCAAAAGTTCTCCATCATTGTTTCAATTAAGTGAATTCTGCCAGAAGCAAACAGAAATGTAATGAACTTCCTCCCCCAAAGAAATTCACAGACATCGCTTGTTTTCATATTTGAGAATATTAAAAAATGTCTCTTTTATCCCTCAAACTTGGAACGTAAAAATATTAGCCACAAGACAACTTGTCAGCAGGAGCATTGGTATGGTAGAAATCTCTTATCTTAAAAGTATTATACTTTGCTTGGGTATATATATTTATCATTGTCTTAACAATACTAAGAAAATACTCTGATGGTTGTGACTCATATGGGCAACAATGGCAGTATTTGTATGACAGATTCCAAATTGTTTAAAGAAATGTGTCCCCCGGAATGAACTCTTACAGATTGTTTAAAACTGGAAAACTACATAGCAATTAACATTTCAAGGTAGTAGTTGTCTCAGTAAGTTCTGTGTCAAATCCTAATATTTCAAATCCAAGCCAACAAAAAACTGTTAGTGGTGAGAAAATTCAAATGTGTTCTTATACACTAATTACCCACATGCATGTTGGAATTCTAATGCAGTTATTCTGAAGTGTTTTAAAGTAGCCACATTAGAAAGTTTGTAACTTTTGGACATGCAGTTTATTGCAATTTTTCTTATTATTATGTATCTCAATCATTGAAATTTATGGTTCCATAGTATATGAATTTTTAGGAAACCTTGTATCTTAGCATATATATGCCATACTTCTTTCTTCCTCAAACATTAGAATTGAAGTTCATCTATAGTGGGGATCTAGAACTTTCTTTACTACTTAAAATAGATTCCAGAAAGAAACTGTAGAAGCAAGAAGGCCAAAGATCTTTAAAATTTCTCTAACCTTTCCACATGTTACTCAATGGCAATTACTCAACCTGCAGAGCCCAGCCAACTCCCAGCTGCTGTGTTTAAAAGATTGTATGACTACTTATTTTATTCTATAATTAATTCTTATTCTATGGATATAGTCTAATAACATTTACCCTAATTTTGAACTATAAATGCTTTAAAAGCTATTTATCCCTAAAATATGAATACCTTAGGTTTATGAATTCCCAGGATCTTATGGAAGACCATGGAAATTTTAGAAAGAAAATGTGAAAAAGCAGGCAGAAAAAATTTGTTGGCTACTTTAGCACTCTGTGTAACTGAAGTTGTTGTGATTTTAAGAGAAAGATAAATCTATCTTCCATACTATACATCCTATTTTTTAAAAATATACTTGTCTATTCTTAGCATGATATACCTCAACCTGCTAGTCACTTCAGAGGACTGAATGTTACATTGGCAGTTAAATTTTCTTCTCATCTATAAAGTACATTCCATGAAATGGACTCCAGGGAATATGGGAATTGCCAATATTAAAAGTAGAAAATACTCTCATATTAAAAATAGGAAATTGGCAATACTGATATTCATAGATGTCCCTAACGACAACTAGAGCACTCTAAAAATGTAGCTCTTAGATTGAAAATGTGTCACAGTCCTTAGAGCAATCAGTCATTAACAATATTTGAGGTCATGTCTCTTATTCCAGGACAGATTTCATGTACTTTGCAACAGAGGTAAGAGCAAAACCTCTCAAAATTTGTCAGCACATACCATCTGTATTTCTCATCTAGTTGATGCTGAACAAAGCAAGCCTTTCCATGTATACAGCATAAATTTACATTTAATCTATTAATATTCATTGATGCTGACAAGGCAAAGACCATAAAGTAATGAGATGGGTTTAAACATATTAAAAGAATAAGTATGGGTTCTACCACAGGGCTTTGCATTTTAACGATCCAGCCAAGACAAATATAATCAATAGAAAATAGCTTATAAACTAATAGTAATCTTAGTTCACTGAGATTGGTCAAGAATTGTCTAGTGACTCAGAGAGTATTTTTTTGTATCTTTATAATAGCAACCTTGTCTTTTGAATTACAATCACTTATTAAGCACAGTTATGATAACTACCTTTAATTTGGGGATTCAGTTTGGGAACCAGATAATTTTATTGCCTTTGTTTGGCTTCTGGACTGTTAACTTGCTATTGTAGAGGTATTGAAACTTAGCACAATCAGTTCTGACAGACTATAAAGGTGCATCATCACTTGCTGGTTTCATGTGCATTTCAGAGAAAAATTGAGTCAAAAAGACTGCACAATTTTTTTAAGTGACAAATTTTAATATCTCTTTAAACTGTACCTCAATTACCATATCTGCTCAAGCAAAAATAAAGGACTCTCTGGTACAGTTTTTAAAGTAATTTTGACAAGACCACTTTCTTTAACTGAACTTAGCTGAATAATGGGCAGTGGAAAAGTATGAAATGAAGATAAGAATTCTATAAAAGACTAAAATTTTGAATATAATGGCAACCAAGTCTTATTCTCCACAATACCTTCATAATTGCTTACTGCATTCTCTATTTCAGAACACCATGCCATTTGTAATAGTGTAGGAATAACCATGTCCATCTCAATAATCACCACATAGTCTTTAAACACAGTCAATCTTAGATTCCATGACATATATATTGTAGACCTTGAAGTGTATCAATTCATTCACTTTGACATTTCAAAGAGATGCTAAAATAAGAATTACTGCTTGTGGCTATAAGACAATCTGGTGATTTTTAACACAATATTCTAGAAAATGAAATGTATATGGACATGACACACGGGTTCGCTCTTGATTGAATGAAATATCCATTATACCAGTCGCACTTTTATTCCTTTCTAAGAGGTGTCTTCCTCAGCAGATACATTGGCTTTTATTTTCTTGTTAGATCCTACAAAGAGTGGTAAAATATAGCGGTCCCATAATCTCATTGCTATATAAACTCTTCATGAATAAACAATCAATTGTACACTA